TTGAAATAAAAGGAGACAGCTCACACGCATGGTTATGGGCTTACAAAAAAGAAGACATCTGTACCATGTCAGATACAGAGTTGAAATGTCTGCAATTTTGAGTTTGCATCCCAATATTACACTTTGTATCATAGAAGACTGAAATATAACAAAAACCGTTTGACATAGAAAGACCTGATTTCCGGCTGCTTTTTAAATTAATAATGTTTATTAATTATACAATTATGAAAAATATTAATAACATTCCACCCCATGAGGCCACTAGTCATTTGAATGCAGGAAAGAGTTACCCAGCTGGATCAGTGTTAGTCATCACTGGAGAATTTCTGTAAACACCCAAAACATGCTTTGAATTATTTTCTATGCTTTTGCCAAATTGTATAAATGTCTGATTACTGCCTTCTAGGTAAAAATGTTACGGGATTACCTGTATAAATAATGGATCAAAGTGTAAAGAGTTAAAATCTCCCCCAAAAGCCACAACATACTATAAATACTAAACATACTATAAATTATTACATTGATTACAATAGTCAATAGTGATATTTCCCGTCAAGTTCCATCCAGTCCTAGTACTCTGCTGTACAGTATGAAGGCTGGGAGGGGGAATAATGTGAACCTGAAGGAGTGGCTGATCTCATAAAGACTGTGATATCTTTCATCTCCAGGTGGGACTGGAGATATCCTGTTCTTCATCACATTTTATTTATGTTCACTGTTCTCTTTCCCTCTCCTCTCCTCCTTCTCCCCCTCTCCACTCTCCTCAGATAGGACACTTCAGATGAATGAAAAGCGAGGGAGAAGATAAGGTGAGGAAAAGGTGTAGAACCTTTCTCTCTCTCTCTCTCTCCCTCTCTCTTTCTCTCCTCCTCCGCTCCCCTTGCTTTTCATTCATCTTGAGTAGCCCAGTGTGAATTAGCATTGTGCTAGCAGCATTAGCCAGGGCAGAGGCAGATGTGAGCCTCTCTCTCCACACAGCCAGATTTTGGAGCATCAAGTCTAGTGAATCCAATACTTTTATCTTCTTTAATTATGCTAATCATATGCCACAGCTATTTCTTATCAAGACAGGGGGAGCCATGTTTTTTTCTTCTCCCACTCAGGAATCTGAGAAGAGGCTCCACCAGCAAACAGCAGTTTTTCAAAGATAACCACAACATTCTATGGAGACATATAGGCCAACATATGCACTCCATCTACCTGACTCTAACTGGACTACACCAATTTCCCACCCTATCTTCACCCACCGTTTCCCATCTTTCCTCATGACCTCGAATGACCATTTAACGTACAGAACAGCAATCTGATTGCTTCTTCACTCCATTATATCTAGTTTAATCAATTGCTCTAGGATGAAAGGTCAATGTATTTGGGTCTATGGGAAAGCATTGTGTGTGGTGAAACGAGGTACAGTACACTTAAATGTGGCTCTATACTCCAGCATTTTCATACAGTGGGGAAAAAAAGTATTTAGTCAGCCACCAATTGTGCAAGTTCTCCCACTTAAAAAGATGAGAGAGGCCTGTAATTTTCATCATAGGTACACGTCAACTATGACAGACAAAATTAGGAGAAAAAATCTAGAAAATCACATTGTAGGATTTTTTATGAATTTATTTGCAAATTATGGTGGAAAATAAGTATTTGGTCAATAACAAAAGTTTCTCAATACTTTGTTATATACCTTTTGTTGGCAATGACACAGGTCAAACGTTTTCTGTAAGTCTTCCCAAGGTTTTCACACACTGTTGCTGGTATTTTGGCCCATTCCTCCATGCAGATCTCCTCTAGAGCAGTGATGTTTTGGGTCTGTCGCTGGGCAACACGGACTTTCAACTCCCTCCAAAGATGTTCTATGGGGTTGAGATCTGGAGACTGGCTAGGCCACTCCAGACCTTGAAATGCTTCTTACGAAGCCACTCCTTCGTTGCCCGGGCGGTGTGTTTGGGATCATTGTCATGCTGAAAGACCCAGCCACGTTTCATCTTCAATGCCCTTGCTGATGGAAGGAGGTTTTCACTCAAAATCACATGATACATGGCCCCATTAATTCTTTCCTTTACACGGATCAGTCGTCCTGGTCCCTTTGCAGAAAAACAGCCCCAAAGCATTATGTTTCCACCCCCATTCTTCACAGTAGGTATGGTGTTCTTTGGATGCAACTCAGCAGTCTTTGTCCTCCAAACACGACAAGTTCTATTTTGGTTTCATCTGACCATATGACATATGACATTCTCCCAATCCTCTTCTGGATCATCCAAATGCATTCTAGCAAACTTCAGACGGGCCTGGACATGTACTGGCTTAAGCAGGGGGACACGTCTGGCACTGCAGGATTTGAGTCCCTGGCGGCGTAGTGTGTTACTGATGGTAGGCTTTGTTACTTTGGTCCCAGCTCTCTGCAGGTCATTCACTAGGTCCCCCCGTGTGGTTCTGGGATTTTTGCTCACCGTTCTTGTGATCATTTTGACCCCACGGGGTGAGATCTTGCGTGGAGCCCCAGATCGAGGGAGATTATCAGTGGTCTTGTAGGTCTTCCATTTCCAAATAATGGCTCCCACAGTTGATTTCTTCAAACCAAGCTGCTTACCTATTGCAGATTCAGTCTTCCCAGCCTGGTGCAGGTCTACAATTTTGTTTCTGGTGTCCTTTGACAGCTCTTTGGTCTTGGCCATAGTGGAGTTTGGAGTGTGACTGTTTGAGGTTGTGGACAGGTGTCTTTTATACTGATAACAAGTTCAAACAGGTGCCATTAATACAGGTAACGAGTGGAGGACAGAGGAGCCTCTTAAAGAAGAAGTTACAGGTCTGTGAGAGCCAGAAATCTTGCTTGTTTGTAGGTGACCAAATACTTATTTTCCACCATAATTTGCAAATAAATTCATTAAAAATCCTACAATGTGATTTTCTGGATTTTTTTTTCTCAATTTGTCTGTCATAGTTGACATGTACCTATGATGAAAATTACAGGCCTCTCTCATTTTTTTAAGTGGGAGAACTTGCACAATTGGTGGCTGACTAAATACTTTTTTTCCCCACTGTATGAGGCAGCAGTACAGAATGTCACCTTTTATTTCAGGGTATTTTCATACATATCTGTTGTACCGTTTAGAAATGAACCCACTTTATGTATCTAGTCCCGCCCATTTTAGGGTTTCATAAGTGTTTAGACAAATCCTCCTTTATGTGTATTAAAGTAGTCAAAAGTTTAGTGTTTGGTCTAATATTCCTAGCACGCAATGACTACATCAAGCGTGTGACTACAAACTTGTTGGATGCACTTGCAGTTTGTTTTGTTTGTGTTTCAGATTATGTTGTGCCCAATAGAAATTAATGGTAAATAATGTATTGTGTCAATTTGGAGTCACTTTTATTGTAAATAAGAATATGATAGGTTACTGAACACTTCTACATTAAAGGCCCAGTGCAGTCAAAATTCAGTTTTTCCTGTGTTTTATATCATATTGTACAACAGCTGACGAAACTAACACTGTAAAAGTGTGAAAACATTTGATCAGTGTTATTTCCTGACAGTTGCTGGTTGAAAATTAAATCTACACAGGACCTTCTAATCAGCAGCTTTGCATGGGCGGGAGTTTCGGCTTTCCATGGTGACATCACCATTGGTAAATTAGTTAATAGACTAATAACAAAGAGAGTTCCAAACCTCTCTGCCAATAACAGCTAGTTTTCATTTTTCCCTTCCCAATTCAGACCACTCCCAGACAGTCCTAGGAAAGTTATTGTTTGAGAAATATTTTTTTGCTATTACAGTAAGGTGCTTAATTGTTACCCAGAAATGATTTGATAGTGGCATAAAAACGACAGCATTGGGTCTTAATGTGGATGCTACCATGACTATGGATAATCAGGAATTAATCAGGAATAATGATGAGTGAGAAAGCTATAAAGGCACAAAGATCATACCATCCCCAAAAATGCTAACCTCTCACCGTTACCAATATTAGAGGAGGTTAGCGCTTCTTGGGGGGGTATGCTATTTATGCCTTTCCCACTCATAATTATTCAAGATTCGTTAATGATTATCCGTAATCATGATAGCATCCACATTAATGTAGAAGTGATCAGAAACATATTGTATTCTTATTTACAATGAAAGTGACTCCAAAATGACACAATCCATTATTTACTATTTAATTTCTATTGGGCACAACAATAATCTGAAACACAACCAAAGCTATTTGTTCAAAGAACAATGTTGTGGGCCAATGGCAAAACAATTCATAAATATGTTTTTGGAAATGTATTTTAGGAAGGGAAAGAGGGATGGATATACACAGAATGTGGGTTGAAAATGGGATTGTTTTGTTTCTCCATGGAACATGATTCTGCAGGTCAGTCTTCCAAAGCTGTGGTGTTAAAAATGCTCCTACATATCACGGTGCTGCGGGCAGTATTTCCTTCAGCCCTCGACAACACACTACAGAAGTTGATGGCGTTATTAAACCCTGACCCAGCCAAGGGTACACCATACAGCCCATAGCAGACCAGAGTGCATATCAAACCAAGGTGGTCATAAATCATGCGCTGCTCGGTTAACGGGAAACCAGCCGGGAGATGATGCAAATAAAAGCTAGTCAAGGCTTCTCGCGGCACGCAGAGGGAGGTGATTGGGAGGATTGTGTTCAACAGTCTAGATTAGCCTGTCACGCTTATTCCCCTTCGCTTTGCTCCCGCAAACAACACAGTTACTAGAGAACTCTGATCGAAAGCTATCAAACTAACAGCAACACATTTCGTTAGCCTGCCTGTCTGCCTGCCACCATGGCTGGAGGCTAGGAGCTGATAGCACCATGCTTTGTGTGCTAAGGAAATATATAAATGTTGTTTAGCAGAGAGGCTGTGAACAGACTGTTGATGAGGTTTCTGTGAGACAATTGAACTCCTGAACTATGCCGTGTTTAACATTACCATTCTGTTGCCATTGGGCATGTTGAGATTGCTCATGTTACTGTGAATACTTTGTGTCGATTCTTACCTGCAGTGAAGTTGTAGTTTACCGAAAATCCAATCGCCTCCAGTTCGCCGTCGGAAACAAATTTTATCCAGAGGTACCGTCCGCTGCTCCTGATGAAGGGAGGGACGGTCTGGCCACAGTAGCGTCCGATGATTGGGGAGAAGCCAAAGGGGCCGTCCCGCACCTCGATGTTGTCGAACTTACATTCCCATGAAGGCTCGATAGAGTACCTCTCATCAAAGAACAGATCAATACACAGCCTGGGAGGAGCTGGAGGAGACAGAGTAGATAACACAGATAGTGAATATAATGCTCATACTGTTTATAACGTATACGTGTAGCTATATTGCATAATGCTGTAGGCCTATAAGGCATATAACACAGGGAGAACATGTGAAGCACCATTAAGCAGTGTGCAATTACGATTTCTTACAGTAAATGCAGCCTGTGGGGGTTAACTCATTTTAAATCATTTTGCTCTGCAATGTAAATAGACACACACTGTAAGTTGTCTTGGAGTGAACTGAATGAACTACTAAGAAAACACAATCCCAACTTTGGTGACTTTTTTTGTGACCACTGATCGACCTCGAATAAAAAATACCTTTTCTTTTTTTTTCTCTCTGTGAAACACTTTCCAAGTATTTCAAGCAAGCAACTTCTATTTCTATCCTAATGATCAGTGTGGGTAAAATCCGGTTGTCTCATTCCACCATCCTGATCTCACAGGCTTACATTCAGTCAGGTCAGGATGGTGGATCAGGCTAAAAGTCTGGACCATCATCCACATTTCATCTATAAATCCAGTTCAGTATAGTACAAACCAGATTATATTGTTCTAGTATAGTTCCTCCAGTCCAGCAATTGTGTCTCAGTAGAGATGATCTTTTGTGTATTCATTTTGTTAATATCATTAGGGCCGTAACCTAATCTCCTCCACTGATGAATCAAATATAAACCTCCCAGAACCTAAATTAAATGACTGAGATTGCAACTCGCCGTCTGATTTCATTACCATCATCAGACAAACATCAACAGCACAGCAACTGAACTGACCAATCCCATCAGTTATACTACGAACACATATCTCAACATCTGGTCCAGATTTCTCTCTGAAACATGAGGAGAGACATCCATCCACAGAGCAACCTGAGCCCGTCCACATTCACCGACGCCTGAGCTCAAGAAGACAACAAGGAGTTTAACAGACAGATGGTTTTAATTTCTCACCTGGATCTGAGATGATAAAGATTTAGGTTCCTGGAACACTATTTAAGAGTCAGATTTCAGTACTAAAAGGCTATCAAAATTGAGGGACAAAACTCTGTATTCCTTATTCCTGGCGGTGAATTTAAAAAAATCTGTATTTGTTTAGAGGATGTCATCTACTGATCTCAACAAATGACATACATGGCTTTACATTGAGGTTAGTTAGTTGCTTTGAAAATTATTCACCTTCAATGATGTAAACACACTCTATTCCTGGGGGATATTTGCTGGGGTAGTTGGGAGAAGTGAACAGTCCCCCGTCTCCTTCCTTCACCCAGGTGCCACATTGACCTGCAGGTTTCACTCCCGAATTGTTCTTCACTGAAAACCCAATAGCAGAGTTCAGTTGATTATATAGATAGATACAAATATATAAATATATATATATATATATATATATATATCTATATCTATAATATCTATATATCCTATATATAGCGAGAGAGAGAGAGAGCGAGAGAGAGAGAGCGAAGAGAGAGAGCGAGAAGGCAGAGATCTCCCTCAGCAGCGCTCGCGAGAGAGAGCTCTCTCGTCGCTCTCTCTGTCCCTCTCTCGCCCCTCCTCTAGCGCTGCTCCCGAGCCCTCTCTCCAGCTCGTCTCTCTCCTCGGGCCAGAGCGCTGCTCGTGACCCTAGTCATTGCCTTACACTCTTCTTCGTTGCCCCAGACAACCCAAGTATGAGTAGACTTGCAACAACTGCAACAAGATAAACACATTAATTTTGTTTTGTGGATAATACAAATTGCTATATTTGCATTCATTCAACATAGATGTAGCCTATGACATAATACTCTAAAGAATTCAAAATATTGAATGTATCATGCATGGCTAGAATGTTACATTGCCCTTTTAAACGGGGTTTTAAATAAATGAAATGAATTAAAAAATACATAATTTGTAACCAATTGATTCTCCAAAGTTTCTTAACTTTTTTAATGGAATTGGATGTGCAACGAATAGGCAAACATACATACCTATTAACCACATCGTAGAGCAGACCCCGGGCAACACATAATTGGGCTTTAATGCACTATTCATCATACAAATGGAAAACGTATACACCTGGAGTCTTCAGGCTATACCATAATGTATCTGCATGTAATGCTATGGAAAAGTAGCCTACGCATGCTGTTTGAATATAGGTACAGTAGATGCTACACAAATTGTCAAGGGGTATGGGTGCATGGATATCACATTCGTTACACATCTCCCACTATATGTGAACTGACAGCTATAGGCAACCAGAATTCTACGTCAACTCATAAAATCATGAATATTGGGCTAGCCTAAGCTACTCAATTAAGGCATTTGATGTAGGCGCAAGGCAGTGAATTATGTTCAATGGAAGCGACTTACCGTGAAGGAGGCTGTGCCCATATACCATGTCTGTACCTTTCACAAGGGGCTTCAGGTTCAACTAATTCCATTTAGATAAAGGTATACTTCAAGATATTTAAGGGAGATGCGAAATGGACAGCAAACCGCAATACCATTCCACCTTTCCAAAAATAAATAAATAAATAAAATGGATAACCTGGCAAATGTCTTCCTCGCAGTTATAATTTATTGAATGAGAAGATTAAAATTCCAGAGAGAGAACAATCGCAACTACTAGTCACCAGTTTCATATAAAACCAAATGCAGGTCTAAACATTTGCCCGAATTCCATCCAAACGTTTCCTGAACATTTTGGTGCTTCTGATGCACTGACCGGATGAATAGATCCGTCATCAGCCATCCCTGATCGCTGCACCTTTACAATCTTTCGATGAAACAGATTCAGGGTGAAAAAAAAGGCAGCTTTAGTTATTATTCTTCAATCCATTTACCTGGAAACAAAAATCCTACTGACGCGTGGGTATCCCATCCTCCTAAGCACATTTTCCGAACTGTTTGCACTGTTCCACGATGCGTAAAACCCCGGGCTATCAACTTAGATAACAAAAGTCGCAACGTGAAAAATCTCATTCCTTCTTCCTCTAATCCCTCATGGAGAGTGTTCGTAGAGCAGTGTTTGTAGAGCATCCTCCAGTCTACTCCGGCGATTGGCTGGTTTCTCTCTCTTGCTCTCTCACTCTCGCTCTCTCTCTCTGCACCCACCAAGAAGGAGTTGAAGCATATTATCGCCCTCCTCCAACTGCTGGGTCATCTATTCATTCGTTCCTCTAACTACTGGGCTAGCCTATAAACCACCCTAATTATAATTGGAACACACTCCAGGATACTTTGTTTCACGAATTTAATCCAACTTCCCCTATGTTAGCCATGGAGTAGTAGAAAAAAAAACTACGGAGAGGAGGTGGTGGGTGTTTCTTTAAGATGCGCTTTGCTCTTTCTCTCTGCAAGCAGACTGCAGAATCCAACACCTCAGTCGGCGGCCCACTAAGCGAAAATGTCAAAGGTAAGCAGAAAAACGCACCCTGTGAGAGGAAATGGAAGAAACAAGCGAAAGCAGATATATGTCAGGATACCGTCAACTATATCAACAACTCCAGGCAGAAACACCTGCCGCATGGAATAGATGGAGTGACTATATGGAATAGATGGAGTGACTATATGGAATAGATGGAGTGACTATATGGAATAGATGGAGTGACTATATGGAATAGATGGAGTGACTATATGGAATAGATGGAGTGACTATATGGAATAGATGGAGTGACTATATGGAATAGATGGAGTGACTATATGGAATAGATGGAGTGACTATATGGAATAGATGGAGTGATTATATTCCTCCCGCCGAACATGGCGAGGTCGAGGTTGGGTGGAATGGAAAGTAACGAGTAATTGCTGAACATCAACTATGACGGTTTTTATCCTCTGTTTTGACCCAAGGTCAATTTTTGTCCAATGTTCCATTCATAGGTAAATCCTGGATCTGATTATGCAGTTAAATCAGCATCGTTGGGTATTTCCAGTGTCTTTATCATAAATCAAATAGCTCACGTGAAAAAAAATGTATGTAGGGCTATAAAACCATCTACATATTTATCTTCCCCACAAAAGTTGCGAACATTCCATACTTTTCTAATGTCTGCACGGAGAGTAAAGCCTAGGCTCGTCCTATGTTTATCCCCTTGCTGTGTTTTAGGTAGCCTAGCCTAATGACATCAATAATTGCTAGTGCTTATGGAGATAAAACAAGATCGTTCTCCACACACGATTTTGCTGATGATTAAACCTGTTTTCTATTAACAATACCCATCTCGTCCCTGCCTTTCCAATTAACTGCATTAATGCCTCCTCCCCTGATCCCCTCCCCCTACTCATATCTGCAGCAGTTCAACTGAGGTCATTAAAGTTGCCCATGTCTCTGCTCTAGCTTGGATCTTGACAATTTAGTGAGCAAGGTCAGAGAGCTGAATCAGACAGAATAACATATTAGTGATGCTGTTTCATCCATTGTAATAACTAACTCATCAAAGACAGATTCTGCTCAGGCCATGCTGATAGGTTACATCACCACTGCATCGTTGTAGCAGGTCCTCTGCCAAGAGGTCTGAACCTTTATGGCACAGTAGTGTTCTTGCCCTGTAACCACAACATCACAGGTTTAACCTCTGTTTCCCCCCACAATTGATACACAACCTAACTGGTCTAAGGACAGTCACTATCGTTCAGAACTATAAGGACAACTGATCTTGAATCAGCTGTTACAGTGGTGAGTAAGCTAGCTACATTAATTTAGTCCCAGCTGAGGGAAGTGTGGATGCAGTGGTGGAGTGCAAATGGGTTTATTTATTAGAGATGATTGAACTACAAATGAACTGAAGGGGTATGAGGAAGTCTGCTGTTTAAAATGGGCTCTGACAGTAGAATAAAAATAGGTGTGTTTTAATTTATCTTGGGTTTGTCTTCATTATGCCGCTCTTTGCATTTTGAGAGAAACGGGGTGAGGGAGAGAGAGAGAGAGAGAGAGAGAGAGAGAGATATGTAGAGATAGGGAGAGAGAGATAGAGAGAGATTAGGGAGAGATAGGGAGAGAGCTATAGAGCTCTCTCTCTCTTCCCCCCCCCCTCTCTCTCCTCCTCTCTCCTCGTCTCTCTCTCTCTCTCTCTCTCTCTCCTCTCTCTTTCTTTTCTCTACTCTCTCTCTCTCTCTCTCTCTTCCCTCTCTCTTCTCCGCTCCTCTCTCTCTCCGCTCTCTCCCCCCTCTTCTCGTCTCTCTCTCTCTCTCTCTCTTTTTTCTCTCTCGTCTCATCTCTCTCTCTCTTTCTCCTCTCTGTCTCTCTACTCTGCTCCTTCTGCTCTCTCTCCTCTCTCTCCTCTCTCTCTCTCTCTCTCTCTCTCTCTTCGCTTCTCTATCTCCCTTCTCCCTCCTTTTTCTTCCCCCCCCCCCCCCCCTTCTTACTTTCCTCCTTTTGTACAATATTCCCAAAAAAACTTATCAACTCTGCCCTTCGAGTTTTGGCTCTAACAGAGAGTACACAATGACAGAATACCTGACCACTGTGACTGACCCAAATTTTAAGGAAAGCTTTGACTATGTACAGACTCAGTGAGCATAGCCTTGCTATTGAGAACGGCCGCCATAGACAGACCTGACTCTCAAGAGAAGACAGTCTATGTGCCACATGCCCCAACGAAAAACATGAGGTGGGCCCGTAGGCTTGGCACTATCCGGGCTTCCTAACCTCCTAAGAACCAAAAAAAAAGATCACTAACCTCGAACCTAAAACCTCAAGCTAAGTACAACACATTTCTAGAAAGCAGAGAGAACCAAACAAGGAAGAAAGGGAAGACAGGAACCGGAGAGATTAAAAGAGACAACCTATAATTCAATATTTAACATTTCCCTTCCACAAAATTTCCAAGACATCGAGGAAGGAAAATTATAAACAGATCCAGAAAGAATTTGAGAAAACAAACAACACCAATTTTGATAAAGCTCAGGACGAACTACGGAATAACCCTAGGCTAACTGAAGGAAATTGAAAAATGATACCAAAGAAAAAAACACATTGGTAAAGTCGCCAAAAAATCACAGAAAAAAGGAAGAAACACAAAGAACTATCCCACAGAAAAGTTTTGCCATGAACATCAACAAAAAAGCAACAGCCATTTAATTGGAACACCTTTGGTTTACCGACCAAAAAAATAAAAAAGGGAGGCAAACCAGAGAAAGAGAAAACAAGAGAAGAAAAAAAAGAAGAGAGAACCCAGCTAAGAAAGAGAAAAGGAAGTTACCCAAAAGAAACAACAGGACACACAAATAAAGGAAAGAAGCACACCGAAAACTTTTACACGAGCGAAGGGACTGAGTAGATAAACCCAAAGAAGAAATACACCAAATAAAAAATTTTCCTGGCAAAAAAGAAACGAAGAAGCGAGAGTAGAGGGGGAGATGAAAAGAAGGAAGAAATAGAATGAATAGAGAAGCAAAGGATAGTGAGGACGAGAAAAGAAGATGCAAATGAGGAGAAGAAAGAAAGAGGCACCAACGTATTTTGAATGTTTATTTATTTATCCCCAGTTTGTACTAGACAAAACTAAATGGACTAGATTAAAACAAAATACAGACTGTTGACAAAAAAAAAATACAGAAAATCAAAGAAAAAAGAATAAATACAGACACAACGAACGGAAATAATGTGAACAAGCAATCTTGAGGTTAGGCATGTAGAGAAAATGAGAGAAATTAAAAATACTGAGGTCTAATGAGAAGAAGATTGTAAATTTTATTTTAGAAAGAGAGAGGTTAAATTGTAACACGTTTTTTTAAACATTTATCATACGACCTTAATCAAGAGCCGTTCACCCAATGACATTGCAATTTTATTGCAACATGTTTGATAAGCATAAATTTTTGGATCCCCATAAAAATGGTAAGAAAGGGTCGACATTGGAAGAAGAGGTAAGGAAAAGCAAATGACCCAAGGTCAGACCGTTGAAAAGAAACAGCAAATAAATTCGACAAAGATGGTAAGGATGCCCGAATTGTAGAGGAGCGAAGCGAAAAAAAAGACCAGAAAAAGGAATAATTTTTAACTTTAAGTAGCTCAACCACAAATTTCAAATCAGTCAGGGGAATAGATAGACTAGACATAGGATAAGATATTATCTTCTCCTGACGTATCCCTTTACTTACGATCCTCTATCTAATGCCTCAGAGCTGATTCCGGCCCGACTACAATCCTTCCCCTCTCTTCAGAAATCGTCGAAAATTATTATTACAATATGGATAATTAAAATCTATATAATACTACAATTCGCGCCCTCATCATAATCTGTATCTAATTATTATATCTCCTCATTCTCTTCTACCATCCTTCACCCTCTCGTGATCCCCCTATCAACTCCCACGGCCATCATACCCCCCCACCCCCCACCCTCCCCCCCCCCCCCCTCCCCCCCCTGCCCCCCCCCCCCCAGCCCGCCCCCC